TTACATTTAAAGAAATTAACATAATGTTCTTTACTAATTTTTCAATTTTTAATGAATCAAGTCAATAAATACAAATTAGTTGATAGAATGGGGCAAAGAAAAATTTGAACTCAAACGCTACGGAAACCGTTAATGTTCACTTAGGTAAAGTGCGGAAAAATTTAAACGCGCGCTTTAATGGATTTCCCTATACTGTAAAAAATTCCGGATCAAATTAATCCTTTTTTATCAGAACATGTTATGAAACAAAAACCTGATATACCGCAATTTTTACAGCAATAAATACCGTAAAATAACTGAATAACTCTTAATTAAATAAATATTACAATAAATATTACGATATAATATTTTACGTTAAAAATGGATTTTACGATGGTGCACTCAAAGTGTCAGTACTTTATACCGTATTTTTGTATAAACTTATTTAGGTTTATTATAAACGGCATTTATTTATTATACCTAAAGAATCAAATCAATAAATACAATCAAACAATCAGCACAGTATTTGAAACAAACTTTTGACCTTGAACGATACGGAAACATTTGATGTGCACATTACCTAAATTTACGGAAAACATATGATTACGTACTTTAACACATTACCCTAGTTACTCTGCAGATTAGGTCTGTAATGTGCATACAAATGTGCCCTTGAGCTATAGCGATAACAAATACATAAATAAATTTTTATTATTTATGTCTTATATTATTTATAACTTTAGAGAAAGTCCTAAAACAAGCAAACAAACAAACGTTATTAATTAGGAATACCAACCTACTAAATAATTTTATTACACTTCATTATTTAACACACTGTAAAAAATAACGGTAAAAGGCACTGGTGCACTGAGTGCAGCATTTGAGAAATTCATTTTTACTGTAAAATTTTATACCATGATCTTTACAGTAATATTTATTTATATTAAAATGATTCAGTACTTTTACTGTAAGTATTACTGTAAAAAACTTACGTTATATCTCTTTAACGCAAATGGGACATAGATATCCTTTTTACATATTTTTTTTCTGATACTCTAACTATAAGTTCAAATACATTTTGGTATTTTTAATTATAAAAAAACAGCCTATTAGTTACTGGAAAAATCGGGTAGATTTTCGGAATTATATTTGACCTTAAGTATGAAATCTATAAAAAGTAGTTTGAAAATTTTTCATTAATATTTAAAAATTTATCAATAATTTAAGGAATTGGAAGATTTTACCTTTAACGCAGAAAAAATCACCAGTGTCTCATGCTGTATTTTATAACCACAAACTATTAAAATGCTAAATGTAATATTTTTCACTTATTTTGACCTAAATTAATACAAAATAATGCAAAAAGTACGAAAAATATGTTTAATAAAAACTCTGCGTCTGTGGGATATCAGATTTATTTGTTCCGTAAAATTTAACGGTAAAAAGTATCACCGTCAGTGCCGGTAATTTGATCCGCAATTCTTTACAGTGCAGTTTTGAAAATAAGGATTAATGTTAAAACAATTTGCTTAAAAATGTAAGGTATAATAAAATAATTCAAGTTGAAGATGTTTAAAAGAATAATTGGTATATTTAAATGAACTATAGTTAATTAAAACTTAGAGCTCTTCAAAATTAGTCGTGATTGCTCTACTAAATGACGTTTCAAACTGAAACAATATTTTTTTTAAAAAATATTAAGTCGCTGTTAATGAAATGTGGAATTTTGAATTTTTTAAACTTCACTTAAAGTAATAAAATAACATCGAAACAACTAACTAAATATTATGAACTATGAACATAAAATATTATGAACTAAAATATTAAATATTATACGAACTTAAAAAACAATTGGTCAATATAGGAGTTTGTTTGCGATATAGAAGTAGTTCTGTATAAATGATAAGCTTATAATATTAGTACTTTGTTTATAGAGTTATGTACAGATATATTTTTTCATATAAAGGATTATAAACATGTTAGTGCAGTAAAAAAATGACTAAAATATAAATAAGCTTTTTAAATACATATAAATTTATAAAAATTTAAATTATTTCCAAGAACTTTTGTAATATTTTATAGTTAACGATAGTAAAAACACGTCGTTTTATTTAAAAAAAAATAATAATAACGAAATTTTGTCTAATTAGAGAAAATGCAACATTGTAATAGAAATATTGACTTTGATTCTACAAAGTTATTGATAAGGAATTATTCAATTTTTCTGAAGTATTTGATTGAATTTTAAAAAAAAAACATTTTAAAATGAGAAAAAATAATAAAATGCTTAAATAACTTTTTTTTAAAATTTAATAATAAAAATTACTACAGGAAAATTTCGGTTAGAAAATGACAAGTATAGGCAAGATTGATATATGAATTAGAATAGTTAATATATATGTAAATTATGTACAAAAATATTTTTTCATGCATATAATTACACACAAATTACGAGACCTATTTCATAACGTTTTATCGACAAAATAACGCAGCACCCCAGATGTCATTATTATGGTATATACTTTAAGAATAATATATTTTAAACGGTGGAGAGAAATTAGATTTTTTTTTCTTTTTCAAGCACTAAATTATTTAATTTTCAATTTTTATATTCAAAATTATTTAAATTTTGAAATTTTTTTTATTTTACTAACGTTTAATTCGCCATAGTTTTTTAATGGGTAGGATTTATTTGTACTTAAAAAATACATTGTTCTTCGAAATATTTCCACTTTAAGTACATTAAATTCATCGATATTTTCAACAATTTTTTATAGTGGATCTGTACAATCTGTATAGCAACAACAGATGTTGTTAGCAGACAGATGTTAGTATGGTTAAAACATATTTGTTTCAGTATGAAAACATCTATTTCGTAATATACTGGAAAGTATTCAGTATAGCAACTAGAACATAAAGTATAACAACTGTATTAAAAAATACATTTTATAAGACATTTTTGTATACAGCATTATTTCAAAAAAGAACTAAATGCCTCCATTAAAAATTACTCATTTTTAGAAATATCTAATGTTTGTTTTTAAAAGTCATTTGCTGTATTATTTTTAAAAAAATGCTGGAGTTGTATGGAATAAAGTATTTTATGGAATGAATGAAGTTTTAGTAGGAAATCTATTTCGTAATATACTGGAAAGTATATAGTACAGCAACTAGAGTATATAGTATAACAACAGTATTAAAAATGCATTTCATAAGCCATTATTGTATATAGCTTTATTTTTAAAAAAACTAAATGCCTCCATTAAAAATTAATTATTTTTAGAAATATCTAATGTTTGTTTTTAAAAGTCATTTGCTGTATTATTTTGAGAAAAAAAAAATACTTGAGTTCAGTAGAATGAAATATTCAATTCAGCGACAAATTTTAAGGAATGTTTCAGAAATTATAATGATTTTGTAATACGAAAAAATTAATAACTTCCTGAACGATCTTTAGTGTAATGAAAACATATGCATGTTATAGCATNCGAATTTCTTGCATTTTGGAAAAAGCTTCGAATTACGCCATTTAGAAAAAAATCCGTTTCACTTTTCTTCCTAGATCTTTCATTATTTTCATCATCTGCCCCATTATCTAGCTTCCCTATTTACCAGCATTGTTTAGAACCTTTTCGAACAACAGAACACAACCACGGAACCCCTTTCAGAGCACATTTCTCTACAATCACATGTTCACCGTAGATAAGGTTTCTTCATGTAAGACGTTCAAATTTTTTATGCACTTATGTAAGATGGACAAATGCCTTGTAAAGGCAAAATCTTCTATGATGATGCACCAAAAATATTCAATGCTTTAAAAAATAGAAGACGTTAAAAATTTATTATAATTAAAAAAATAATTTTTTTAAAGAGTTTTTGTGTTTTTTTAGTTTTTAGAAATCTCACTTAACTTTTTGAAATCTCACCTTGCTTTTGAGAAAGGGTGAGAAACTCTCACCCATTTTTTTTCTATGATGAAAACACTGATAAGCCATTATTGTATATAGCTTTATTTTTAAAAAAACTAAATGCCTCCATTAAAAATTAATTATTTTTAGAAATATCTAATGTTTGTTTTTAAAAGTCATTTGCAGTATTATTTTGAAAAAAAATACTATAGTTCAGTAGAATGAAATATTCAATTTAGCGACAAATTTTAACGAATGTTTTAGAAATTATAATGATTTTGTAATACGAAAAAATTAATAACTTCCTGAACGATCTTTAGTGTAATGAAAACATATGCATGTTATAGCATGAAACATTTATTTTATAATAAAGTGGAAAATATATACTAGTAGTAAGAGTGCATATTAAGCTAGACATTATATCATATAATCATATAGTGTATAATATGCTAAAATATATTTCATATTAGGAACATTTAAGAATATCAATAGTATAGTACTTTTATATCTAAAAATATTTCATAATACTATATGTTTTATATACTATTAATTACAATTTGCATTTAAACTAAATTTACATGGTTATTTCCCTAAAAAAATTTACTTTTCCCTAGTTAAAATATTTTACTTTTGAGGCAATTAATTTACATAAAATTATTTTTAAACAAAATAAGGTAATAGGTAAAAGTAAAAGTTTATCTCTAAAGAAAAATTAGCTTCGATATTACTATTTATAAATGCAAGATTATTTATTGAACAATATAAACACAAATTATAAATGAATAAATAAAAACAATTTTAAACATTGAAAAAAAATATCATCTTCCAAAAATTATCGTTAACATAATTTAATAAAACAAAAAAAAGTTTAAAAATTTTCAATTCACAAAAAATCTAAATATTAAAAGTGACAATTTTAAAAGTGACTAAAGATTCAAAACTTTCACATTTTATAAACAAAAACATTGAATACAATTTTTTTTCTACAAAAATAATCAATCAAGTGATTTAAGTATAGCAGTGTCAAATAAACCTTATAGCTTCAGTAGAGCAATAAATCTAAACAAACTCAGATTGTTTCGGAAAAAAAATAAATAGACAAAATAAACTTACCCATGATCTTAAGGACAAGTTATCAATGTAATTATTCGCCATTTGCGTCATTTTTAATTCTTGTTTTAAGTCACGGAATGTTGTGTTTGCAGTCATCATTTCTCAAAATTTTAAAAATCAAAGCTTGTAAAACATATGCTCCATTGACTTAACCAAAACCAAACGAACTTGCAGGGATTTTTTTTATTCAATTAAAACACACAGTTTTTCCGATAAAAATTTGAATAAAAACATTTTTTTCCGAAGGAACAAAAAAAACTGTCACTGCTTTTTAAAGTGCGGTAACACGGGAGATAGACCGTACAGTCCGACGGACAATGTCTGCGGAACTAATAACCGAACGTCGTTGTAAGAGAAGAACTAGACACAACAAACAGCTTGCATATCAAATGAAGGTATAGGGAAAAAATAATAAAAACACCAAAAAAAAATATTCCGTCTACTTTCTCTTCTCTATGATGGAGGTGAGGGATTTAAGGGTTATTGTTCCCCAGACCGTTTCCGCCAAAACAAATTTAAATGACGCGGAAAGATACAATAAAATACAAGAAAAAAAATAACTTTACGAATACTATTTTGTAATAACGAAATGGTGGTTATGTTTAGAAAGAAAAAAAAAGGGAAAAACAAACTTAATCGCATTTTTTTCCCCTTTAGTGGGGATTTTTTTATTCTGGTTTAGTTAGGTTAGTTCTAACAATAGGAAAAGATGATGCTTTATCAATTTGGGAGTAAAAACGTTTTTTAGAGGTCTCGTGATAAAACAATGACAATAAAAGGTTTGATGGAGAAATTGTTATTTTATTGTGACACAATTATGACAAACTTGTGCTCTAGTGTTCCAGGCATGGATTTATGAATGTTATTCATAAGATTTTGACATATAATGAGAATATAAATCTATTAATATACAGATTAATAGTTTATTTGGTCCCAGAATTTTGCGAGGGAATCTAGATTTTGGAAATGGGATTTTTGTAACATTTCACTGTAAACATTATAATAAAATTGTATTGCAATAATATTATATTTTCATACATTGTAGTGTTGATTTAATATTTTTAAATACTATTTATATTTTACAAACAGGGATGCTCAAAAATTTCGAACTTTTCGCGATTTTTTTTTTTTTAGATGAAAACAAGTGTTTTGAAAGATTCCTTAATTTAATCTTCGTACTTTTTCTTTATACCCCAATCAAAAAAAAAGATAGAAATTTCAAAATTAAATATTGAGACAAACTTTTAGTGCGAAAAATAAAAAAAACGGATCATCCGAATTACTTTTGATCTAGTCACCGGGCTAAGATGCTATCTTTAAAGTTCGAGGGTGTAACCTAGATATGTTCAAACGTTAGATCAGACGATATTTTTGACAGATCCTAAAAGGTGCTTCCTCAGTTAGACAGATTTTTTTTTCTCGACAGATTTGAATTCTTGATGCTCAAAAAATTGGGATGATCACAAACTAAAAATATGATCCCAATAGTTCAGTCAGAAAAGTGATCAAAAGTTTGGACTCTTATGTTGACATCAATTTTGAGTATAACAATGTAAGTGTGGAACTGTTGAGGCGAATAAATAAAAAAAAATAAAAAAAACTACAGTCAATCGAAATTTGTTTATTCACTGTACCTCTATGAACAATTTTTCTTAACTAAATCCATATTTATATTACGTGAAATTAGGAAAGTTTTACGTTCGTCTTTTGAGAGAATAAAATCGCCAACGCAAACGAGTCACCAGTCTCCCTTTTATATATTTTTTTCTCTGGCGCTCTAATTAAAATTAAAAATATATTTTGGTATTTTTTAATTATAAAAAATAATCAAATAGATATTATAGAAAATCTGTTACATTATCGGAATTATATCTGTACTAAAATGTAAAATACAAAAAAAAAAGAAAAGTGTAAAAATATTTCTTTACATTCATATTCAAAAATGCATGAATAATTTATTTTGCAAATTAACAAAATTTCAATGAAGAATAACTGTTTGTTTTAGATCTAAATAACTGCAAATTTAATAAGTTGTTCGGAAGTGAGCCTTGTTCGGAAGATTATACCTTTAAAGCGTAAAAAGTCACCGTTGTTGCATGCTGCATTCCATAACCATAAAACATTTAAATGCTAAATTTTCACTTATTTTGATGTAAATTAATACAAAATAATGAAAAAATTACGAAAATTTTTTTAATAAAAATACTGCGTCAAAGGGTTATAGTCTAAAAAGAGTAATTTTCGGTTAATCGGTAGGAAGTAAATTGAACATTTTTTAAAGAGTTTTTGTGNAAATAAATAGGAAAAAAAATTAAAGGAAAAAAAAAAGAGAAAATTTACTTGCTCTTGGTCAATCGAAAAACATTCTAAAAAACAACTATTTTAAATCAACACTTTTGTTGTTACTTATGCCAATTGCCAATATCAGCAAGCCTGCTTGAAACCAAGCAAATTTTTAAGGCAGAGGGTAATTTTATCGTTTCTCAGTGGCGCCATCTATGACCAAGAATACGACATCAGCCCCCCACACGTCACATCCCGTTTGACAGAGAGGATACATTCATTCCTCCATCGACAGATCGTAATTTTGACCTGAACCAGAGAACGATCAATCTCCAACATCTCTAGAGGTATGGAATTGTTATGGAAACTTGGAGGACTTTGTGACTTCGACATATTTAAAGTGCACCAATCACCATTTAATACACGGGATTCTTCGGCCGGCGGGAGTCGAACTCCCGATCTCAAGAGCCCCCTAACGTTTTACCAACCAGGCTATCCAGGCTCATGTCAACACTGATGTCGTTTCGAGTAGTAAATACAGAAAACAGTTTTAACAGTTGATTAGTTTAACCTGAAAGAAACTAACGCTCGATTTTTTGAATTATAAGCGCTCAAACTCGGTTTAGAGTATCACAATCGAAAGACGTGAGAAGAATTTTCAGCGAAAGGAGCATTGAAGTCATAATCGTGCAAGTGATGCGCTCTTACATTTCACAAAGGAACATCTGAGCTTTAGTCAGAAAGCTGAGAAGTAATAAAAATTTTAATTGGCGATAAATTCTATTTGTCGATAATAAAGAGATAAATTCTGCTTGTAATCAAGAAACTATCAAAACTTACATAGTGAACAAAGAGCCGCAGATGACATTTAGTCAGTATGTTAGTAAGTGGTAAAAATTTTAATCGCAGATAAATTTTATTTGGCGATAAAATGACGATAATATGAGCTTGCATCGGTCAGGAACTTGTTTTTTGTACTTGATGATTTGTATTGCCACAAAGCACGGTATTTGAGGCTATATTAGCAAGTCTAAAAATGGTCGATATTTGGACGGTAAGATTCCACCCTCTCAAACAAGAAATAATTATATTCGATATTAAAATGATTAACATTCTGAGATGCCTCTTGTGTTATTGTGGACATATTACTGTAAGTCAAAGTAGTAGCTTTTATGCTTGCTAAATAATTCGTGCAGAAAAGTGCATGTAGAATGCCTCTATTCTTTCACATTATACAAGCTCCGTTTGCGATTGATAATTATCTAAGTTAAGTAATAAGAGTCATTCCAGTATTTACTCAATCTTATGACTCGTAAAAATATTTATTAAGGGGACAAAAATAAAATAAGTAGACATAATTTACTATTTTTTAATAATTTTGTAAGAAGTAAGAAAGAAAATATTTTTAATCATTGGGAGACGAGCGCTCAATCCACTGAGCCACCATGACTCAAATAGAAATATTGCATTTTTTCTATGCATGTGAAAGTCATCAATGACGGAAGCTTAGGAGAAGAAATGTAAAGAGTGAGAATAGCGCCTTGAAAAAAAGAATTGCAGTTCTGGCGGTTAGCGAACTATATTGATAAGGGGACGGAACCATTGCAAGAAAGTTTACGCACACTAAACAAGCTTATCGTAAAACAAAATACGATGTACGATTTTTAGAGAATTATATGCAATTTAAATTACTTTTGGGGTGTTAATTTTGACTGTTAAAGTGTTTTACATCTTTATCCAGCGCCCTCTATGCTAACATTGAATTTAATAAACTTACAATTTTTGGTGAATATGCATTTTTAATGACTGTTGTGATTTTCTAATAGTTAATTTTGACTGTTAGTCTGAGTGTTGCTCATTTTTACCCAGCGCCCTTAATGCTTATATTGAAAATAATGAAATAACAATATAAATAAATGGTAAATAATAAGCATTTTTAATAATTGTTATGATTATGTAACACTTAATTTAGACAGTCAGTTTAATTGTTGTTCATCTTTAGCCAGCGCCCTCTAACATTGAAAATGGCAAAATAATAATTTTTAGCTTATAATATGCAATTCTTTTCAAAAAGATTGTGCAGCTGATATAAAATTCATGCTTTGTTTAGATTTTAAGGCAATCAAATTGTGGATTTTTCATTTTCCTCAGCTTGATCTGAGAAAAAAGTTGCAAGAAATAACACGAAATTACAAACATTTCGAAATATACTTAAAAGCATTCTGATTTTGCGAAATGTTAGATATATTTTAAATAATATGTTTGAATTGGTTTCTGGTTGTATTAAAAACTAATAATTATTCGCCCTATTGCTTGTTTACTATCGTACTCATTAAGTTTTTTTTTTTGTTTTTTGTTAATTCTTATTTAATAATTGAATACTACAAAAAATCGTTAAATATTTGAAACCAATGAAATTATTTAATTTGTTCACGTTGACTGAATCCAGTTTTAAATAAAACTAGGAGGCTTCGCCCCCTGCTCGCTGGCGCTCGCCAACCCTCGGAACTGCATTCGCAGGTTCATTTCGGATTGCTTCGCAATCCGATGCTCGCTTTGCTCGCGCATTGGATACGTTCTTAACGTCTAGCTTTCGTATACTTTTTTGAACACTGAAGTTCCGAAAACTTTTCACTGTAGAAAATTCTAAACCTGTGCATTTCAATATTAATTTGAAATTGCAAACAGTTCACATATTTTTCTTAATCACACTATTCTAAATTTCAGTTGTTGAGAAAAGTAACTGTTGTAAGTTTTGTTTTAAAGTCTTTCCCACCAGAGGGCTAAAACCATGTGTTGTAAAACAATATGAAATAGTACTGAACGCCGGATGTAAAGCATCGGCTTCGATGAAGATAATTTTGTGAGAATTTTTTTGATAATTCGGTGAGAATTCACCCGATTAGACATATGATGCTCACTACGTGCTCTTGCGCGCCGAAGCCTATCAATTAAAACGTATTAGCGTTTTATATAATATAGATTAGCCATATGATGCTCACTACGTGCTCTTGCGCGCCGAAGCCTATCAATTAAAAATGAAAACTGTTGCCAACGCGAGAAAAGAAATAGCATCAGTTTTATTGATACATACGTATTAGCGTTTTATATAATATAGATTTATTATAAAATTTTAAAATAACTTATTGAACTGCGGTGGCTTAGGGGACAGAGTGCCCACCTCCAAATGAGGTGTCCCAGGTTCGAATCCTAGCGTTGGCTGGCCGATACGAATTCCGCTCCTGGCTCGTAGTGACCATAGCGCTGACATAAAAATATAATCAGTTGTAGATGGAACATGTGTTAGAATCCCTTTGAAAACGGGCTAAGCATGAGAGATTTTCGTGGTTTTCTCTCCATGGAACGCAAATGCGGGGTAATTCCATCAAAAATTCTTCTACGAAGACATTCTACGAAGGCTAATTTTTTACAATGCTTCATCCAGGAGTCCTCTTGTCTTCCTGTTTGGGTTTACAAGGGTTTAAAATTGTTGTTTGGGTTTAAAATTACAAGGGTACAGAGTTGAACATTGCTGGTCGTAAACTTAAAATTGGGTGTTCAGAGCTGATTACAAAATATAAAATGATGCAAAAATTATAAAATAAAATAACATATTAAAAAATTACAATAACTATATTTATTAGTTGTAAAACGGTAACTAAATATGTGAATCTTAAAATGTTGCATAGTAAAAATATCTTAAATAAGAGATATACAAATAATTTACGGGTAAATACCATTATAATTTTTGTTACTTTTAAGCGGATGACAGCCAAGATTTCCAGATCTTCCCTGTTAATTAAGGATTTATTTCGCCAATAAGAACTCGCCAAAAGCAATTTAAAGCACTTTATGGCTAATATCTTTTTATTTTACGCATTGTAACTTTGTCCATAAATTATAAAGTCAAAGCAGATGGAATAAATAAAACACAAAACAAGTAAATAAATAAAAATTCACAGTTTTGTTACAACGTGACAGAATTTCGTACATTTTTCCAAAACTCAACATTAGTAATGAAAATCTTGATAATCAAACAAAAGCGTTATTCAAATTAAAAATAAATACAATGCATAAAATGTCGGAAAAAAGCAATATGATGTAATTCCCGTAGGGTGTAATTCCCCAGAACTACTACAAATTACAGGCGGACTAAAATGGTCAAATTGACTGCTATTGGTTAAAAGTTTCACCGAAAGATGTGACGTCTATATGAAGGTCACATTTTTAACTAGTTTAACTTGACATTATTAATCGTTTTTGGTTTTATTGCACAGGCGGTATTATCATAAAATCATGATATGAAAATCTTGAGAGAAGTAGTTTTACTTTTAAAAAAAATTTTCTAAGTTTAAATCATTTCTTAAATCTTAAAAAAAATATTCTAATAAGCATATATAAATTAAAATAAGCATATAATTAAAAATTTCTAAAAACC